TCCTTGAGGGTAGGAACTGAGTTTTGCTTCTTTTTGTATCCCCATCTTTTAGCACAGTACCTGGCACATAGTAGATGCCTAATAAATACTTATTGACTGATTGACTAAAACTGTTCCTGTCCTTTGAGTTTACATTCCATTGAGAGAATATATCCTATCAAGAGAAGTATATCCATTATAATTATACATAAAAATTATAATTTAATGAAAGGAAAGTTTTAAGTATTAAGAGAGATCAGGAAATGGTCTCCATAGGAGATAAAACCTGCGTAAGTTGAGTCTAGAAGGAAACTAGAAATTCTAAGAGACAGCAGAGATGAAGAGCAAATGCATTCTAGACATGGTAGGCAGGTGGGGAGCCCGTTGAAAAGTATGAAGGTGGGAGATGGAATGCTAAATTGTCTGGAACAATGAAAACAATAAGCCTAGAAAGATAGATTGTGAAGGGCTTTAACTATTAATCTGGGGTTGTTTCCTCTGAAAGTCATTCAACTAGAGTTTATGGCACTATGCCAAGCTTGGGGAAAGAAAGGCAAAGGACAGTCCCTGCTCTCAAGAAGCATACAGTCTAATTTAGAAGCCACCATGCAAACAACACTGAAAATAAGCCATACCAAGAGTAAATTGGAAATAATCAACAGAGGTGAGGCACCTGTTTGTCTCAGTTCCTCATCTGTAAAATGAGCTGGAAAAGGAACTGGCAAACCACTCCCGTATCTCTAGTAAGAAAACCCCACAGAGTCAGACCAACTGAAACAACTCAACAACAACAAATGTGCCAGGCACTGTGCTAAGCACTTTACAATTATTATCTCATTTGATCCTCACAACAAACCTGGAATATAGATGCTATTATTATTCTCATTTTGCAGTTGAGGAAACTGAGGTAAACAGAGGTTTAGTGACTTGCCTAGGGTCACACAGCTCTTCCTGATTCCAGGCCTAGTACTCTAGGTACTGTGCCACCTAACTACCTCAAGAAGACTGGAAAGGTGGAAGGGAGGCAGGTTTCAAAGAGCTTTGAATGTCAACCAGGAAATTACATATTTGATCCTAGAAGTGATAGAAAGCCACTAGAGTTTATTGAGGTGACATGGTCAGAGCTACATTTTAGGTAGACCTTCACAGCTAAAGTAGAGAATGGATTGCTGTCAGCAGGGACTTGTGGCAAGGAAATAGGTTATTGTGATAGTCTGGGAGTAAGATGATGAGGGCCTGCACTAGAGTGGTAGCAGTGTCAGAGGAGAGAAGGGGTGTGAGAGATATTATGATTGGCAGCAGATTGAATATGAGAAGTGAGAGGGAGTGAGGAGTTGAAGATGACACCTAAGATGTGAGTCTGGGTTACTGAGAGTTTGTTAGTGTTCTCAACAGCAACAAGGAAGTTAGGAAGAAGAGAAGGTTTGGGGAGGATAGAGTGAATGAGTTCAGTTTTAGAGTTTAAGATGTCCTTGGAACATTCAGTAGAGGTCATTGGAAACGTGAGACTAGAAGTCAACAGAGAGGATAGGTCAGCATAAGTAGATATAAGAATCATCAGCACAGAGATGATAATTGAATCTATGGGAGCTAATGAAATCACAATTATAATATGTAGAGAGAAGAGAAGATGGCCCAAAACAAAGCCTTGTGGGACACTTTCATTTAGCAAGGATGACTTGGATGAAAATCTAGGAAAGAACATTGAGAAGAAGAGGTCAGATAGGGAGGAGGAGAATCAAGAGAAAGTAGTATCATAAAAAAATCTAGAGAAGAGAATATAAAATAGAAGAGGGTGATTGACAGTGTCAAAAACTACAGAGAGGTCAAGAAGGAAGAGAATTGATATTTGTCAATTAAGATATTGTTAGTAAAAAATGAAGAGGAGAGACTGAGAGATTCACTGGGAGAAGAGGGAAGGGAAAAGAAAAATGGGGGAAATTATCTCACAAAAAAAAAGAGGTACAGAGGGTGGTAAAGGGGTGGCGCAGTGGCGGAGCCAAGATGGCAGAATAAAAGCATTGACTTGCTTGAGCTGTCCCCCAAACCCCTCCAAATACTTGTAAAAATGGCTCTAAACAAATTCTAGAGCAGCAGAACCCACAAAAAGACAGAGTGAAACAAATTTCCAGCCCAAGACAACCTGGATGATTGATTAGAAAGGTCTATCACGCCGGGCTGGGAGAGGAACGCAGTTCAGCATGGGCATGCAAGCAAAGACCAAACACCCCTGCTTAGATCATACCACCTTGGAAGAACTGAAAACTTACAGGTCCCTAGAAATATCTCTGAAAATAGCCATACAAAACCCCCGAAGCTTGGGGTAGTACGCCCTCCACACTGGAAGCAGAACTCTACATTAACAAAGAGTTAAAAAGTCAAGTAATTTGCTAGGATCATGAGCAAATAGTGCAAAAAAAAAAATCAGACAATAGAATCTTTCTTTGGTGATAAAGAAGATCAAAACATACAACCAGAAGAAGATAATAAAGTCAAATCCAAAGCCTCCAAGAAAAATATGAATTGGTCCCAGGCCATCAAAGAGCTCAAAAAGGATTTTGAAAAGCAAGTAAGAGAAGTAGAGGAAAAACTAGGAAGAGAAATGAGAATGATGCAAGAAAATTTTTGACCCAATGATATCACTGTTTTATATATATCCCAAAGAGATCACACAATAAAGAAAAGGGCCTATATGTAAGGACATATTTGTACAAAAATATTTATAGCAGCTCTTTTTGTGGTGGCAAAAAATTGGAAAATTGGGGGGATACCCATCAATTGAGGAACGGCTGAACAAGTTGTACTATATGATTGTGATGGAATACTATTTTGCTATAAGAAATGATGAGGTGGATGATTTCAGAAAAAAAAACTGAGAAGTTCCACATAAACTGATGCAAAGTAAAGTGAGTAGAAGCAGATCATTGTACATAGTAACAACAATACTGTAATGACGATCAAATGTAAAAGACTTAGCTACTCTGATCAATACAATGATACAATACAGGACACATGATGAAAATTGTTGGCCACCTCCAGAGAGAAAACTGATGAACTCTGAAAACAAATTGAAATATAATTTTCTCACCTTCTTTATTTTCTTGCTTTTTGTGTCATGGCTAATATAGAAATATGTTTTGCATGATTTCACATATCAGATTGCTTGTCTTCTCAGTGGGTGGGAAACAGGCTGAGGGGAGGGAGAGAATTTGGAACTAAAAAAATTTAATGTTAAAATAAATAAATAATATTTGTTTAGAAATAGAGATTGTTACTAACTTTGGAGAGAGCAGTTTTCATTAAAAGATAACTTTGGAAACCAAACTGGAATATTTAAGAAGAGAATGAGAGGAAAGGAAGTGGAGGCATCAATTGTAGACAGCTTTCTCAAGGAGTTTAGCCACAAAAGGAAGAAGAAAAATGGGATGATAGATAGTGGAGATGGATAGGATCAAGTGAGAATTTTTTTGAGAATGGTAGAGATATGGATGTGTTTATGGGCAGTTGTTGTTATTGTTTGTCCTTGACTTGCCAATCAATGACAGCCAAAGTGATTTGGGTTTAAGGCATGGAGCTTAAGAAAGAAATCTAGCCCATAAACCCCAGGATATCTTTCGAAGTTTCAGCTATCAAATTTACATTCCTTTGGACAGAGCACCCACAGGTAAGGGTATGATACCCTATGTGGGTAAAGGGAAGGTGAAGAAAGAAGGAGAGAGAGAAAGAGAAAGAAAGAAAGAAAGAAAGAAAGAAAGAAAGAAAGAAAGAAAGA